GAAGTTTGAAGTACGTGCTAAAAAAACCGAGTCACGATCGACGTTTTTCGAATGTTTTGTGGGGAATGATAAGGCTTGATGATTTAGAATATTATCTCTAAGAAACGGAGTGCATAAAACAGTAAATGAGTTCTTCAAATCGAACTCTACTTCGGAAACCCAAATCGTGGAAGTTTGAAGTACGTGCTAAAAAAACCGAGTCACGATCGACGTTTTTCGAATGTTTTGTGAGGAATGTTGAGGCTTGATGATTTAGAATATTATCTCTAAGAAACGGAGTGCATAAAACAGTAAATGAGTTCTTCAAATCGAACTCTACTTCGGAAACCCAAATCGTGGAAGTTTGAAGTACGTGCTAAAAAAACCGAGTCACGATCGACGTTTTTCGAATGTTTTGTGAGGAATGTTGAGGCTTGATGATTTAGAATATTATTTCTAAGAAACGGAGTGCATAAAACAGTAAATGAGTTCTTCAAATCGAACCCTACTTCGGAAACCCAAATCTGGGAAGTTTGAAGTACGTGCTAAAAAAACCGAGTCACGATCGACGTTTTTCGAATGTTTTGTGAGGAATGTTGAGGCTTGATGATTTAGAATATTATTTCTAAGAAACGGAGTGCATGAAACAGTAAAAGAGTTCTTCAAATCGATGATGATTTAGAATATTATTTCTAAGAAACGGAGTGCATAAAACAGTAAAAGAGTTCTTCAAATCGATCCCTACTTCGGAAACCCAAATCTGAGAAGTTTGAAGTACGTGCTAAAAAAACCGAGTCACGATCGACGTTTTTCGAATGTTTTGTGGGGAATGATAAGGNGGAAACTCAAATCTGGGAAGTTTGAACTACGTGCTAAAAAAACCGAGTCACGATCGACCTTTTTCAAATGTTTTGTGAGGAATGATAAGGCTTGATGATTTAGAATATTATTTCTAAGAAACGGAGTACATAAAACAGTAAATGAGTTCTTCAAATCGAACCCTACTTCGGAAACCCAAATCTGGGAAGTTTGAAGTACGTGCTANACACCCAAATGGTGGCGAGAGTTCTCTTATTTATAATCATTTACAGAATACAGAAATAAGGTAAATTACAAATAATAAGGAAATAGCGATAAAAGGAAAGAATAATAAATGAATACAATATATTTGCATTTAGTAAAAGAGAAAATATGGTAACCCGTAATGTAAGGCAAATATCTAGATATTTGCCTTAATGAACGGTCAACTATCCTTAACACCCCCCCGCAAGCTGAGCGTCGGATTTGAACGAACATGAAGCTTGGATCTGAAAAATTCAAAAAGAGGTCGAGAAATACTCTTTGTGAAGATGTCAGCAACTTGGAGATGAGAGGGTACATATTGTGTACGAAGTTTGCCAGTGATAACAAGTTCTCGAAGGAAATGATAATCTAGTTCAACATGCTTGGCCCGCTTGTGAGAAACAGGATTAGAGCTCAAAAAAATAGCACTTTTGTTGTCACATAAGAGTAAGGGCTGCTGTGAAATAGGGACCTTGAGGTCATGCAAAAGATGCGTAACCCAAAGAAGTTCAGCAGCAGTTGTGGCAAGAGCACGATACTCAGATTCACAGCTGGAGCGTGATACAGTAGGTTGCTTTTTGGCACTCCAAGAAATGAGATTGTTACCAAGATAAATAGAATAGCCGGATGTAGAACGACGAGTATCGGGACAACCAGCCCAGTCAGCATCCGAATAAGCGACTAGCGTACTAGGAACAGTGGATGGACGAAAGATAAGACCAAAGTGGAGTGTTCCTTTGACATAGCGAAGAATACGTTTGACAGCAAGAAAGTGATCTGCAGTAGGGGCATGCAAGAATTGACTGACAGAATTGACAGCATAGGCAATATCTGGACGCGTGATAGTCAAGTACTGAAGGGCGCCAACAAGAGATCTGTAGAGAGTAGGATCAGAGAAAGGAGAACCATCAGCAGTCAGGTGTTGAGAAACAACCATGGGAGTGTGAACTGGTTTGCTATCGAGCAACTGAGCACGAGTAAGAATATCTCGAGCATATTTTAACTGACTGATAAAGAGACCATCAGGAGTGGGTGAAGCTTCAAGACCAAGAAAGTAACTGAGAGAACCCAAATCTTTGGTAGCAAACTCAGAATGAAGCTTGCGAGTAAAGCTGTTAATAAGAGATGAGTTGTTGCCGGTAACAATAATGTCATCAACATAAAGAAGCAAATAGATAAGGTTAGATTGCTGATGAAAGACAAAAAGGGACGTGTCAGCGCGACTACAAGAAAACCCAAGTGTGAGAAGAAATGAGCTAAAACGCTGAAACCAAGCACGAGGAGCTTGCTTTAAGCCATAGAG